TTTCAGTTCTAAGTTGATTTGTTTTTTCCATTAGAAAAGCATCCATGCTTGTTTCTTTACTTCTGATTAAATTGTTTTTATCTTTTTCTTAATCTCAAAAACTACACATGAATGTTGTTTAAAAAAAAAAATTCAAAGATATTTTTCCAAGTTCAGCGGTCAGTTCTCAGTCCCCATCTTATTTCGTCTCTTACACCCTCCTTGGTCTATTCGTGGAAGACCAGGGGGGTTGGAGCAGCTCATGTGAAGGGGATGGGAAATAGGGTCAAAGATGCCAGCAGGAGTCCCTTGTCTAAAGGGTTAGAGCTCATTCCAAATGTAAGCTTTGGAGTTATTTCTTTAAAGTCTATCTTCTCCGCTTGTGTGCAAGCTCCATGAGGCCAGGACAGCCATTGCACAGCCGTGAGCTGAGGGCCTGAAGCACCGCAGATTCTCATCATTCATCACCATCCTCCCCTGTCCCATGAGTTCCCTGCTCGGTGTCCCCGTGGACATGGAGTTCCTCTTACAACAAATACACGGGGCAGTTCCACCCACTGTGATGACTTCCTCCAATAGGTAACTTACATGTTTTATTTCCTTACTTAGTATTTTTCCAAAAGCGACAAGTTTGTTCACTGCCAAAAAAAAAAAAACAAAAAAAGAGAGAGAGGAAGACTTCAATATATTATATACTATAAAATAGAAAACATGCCCATCCTGGTGCCCACTCACCACTCATCCCATTTCCCAGTCGTAACTCACCTCAGTGTCATGATGATTAGCACTCTAGACCTTTTCTCAAGACACTTTGATCAGCAAGTCAGCAGATATTTATTGAGCATCTACCCTACGCCAAGCACTATATTGGGAACTAGGGAAAAAGCAGAGAATAAAATAGACAATTCTTAGGAAGGTTCATTCAAATAATAAATATTCATACCCATGTAACATACATATTACATGTATAGGTTTTTCTTATTACAGGTGGGATACTGTAAATATTCCTTAATAGCTATCCAGTTTAAAAAAATCTGAAAATACCCAAAATAGAAGGAATAAAAAAGAAAAAGCCCGTTAGACTCATGATCTAAAGAGAGTTGCGTTTTATAGCCTTGTGTAGTACCTTGCAGTTGTTTGTTTATATATAGTTTTAGTTTATTTTACAAAGTCATGATCATACTGAAAGCAGTTTTCCTGCTTCCCTATTGTACAAGTAATGCAAACAGAAAACATAAAAGGAGAATCCCTTGGAAGTCTGCTACTCCCAATTAGTCATGTTAGTCTTTAAATCAGATATACATTTTTTTTCAAAATTAGAAGTTTAAGATTGCATGAAAAACGTCACTTAGTAACTTACTCTGATCTTGTCATCTATTTCTGTGTCCATAATTATAATCCTTATATGTAGGTGTGGTCATCATAAATTCATCATCTTGGGGTCAACAGTCTCCTTTTCTTGGAAATTAGAATACTAGCAATTTTTTATTTTTTATAGGAACACCTGAATGAATGATGCAAAATATTTGCAAATATCCTTAGTAATATGAATATGATTTTACATTGTTTTTATTCACTCATTTTTTAACAACATCAAAATGTAGTTATCTTTGATAGTATTCTATGAGATTATTATTTTGTTTTTATACCTTTGCTTTCTCTAAATACTTTGCAATGGACAGGTTTTATTTGCTAACCACAATATCATTTAAAATTATGCCTTGCAAAAATGTCCAATTTACCAGTTTCACACTGTTTTTTGATGGCTGCTTGTAATTTCATCTAGTGACCAGGCCACAGTTCCCTTAACCATCCCTGTCACTGAGCACTTGAGTTTTTTCCCAACTTTTACAAGATCGTTCCATGGGGACCCCACTCCATATCTGGGGTCGCGTCCTTGTGGGACAGCCCAGCAAAGGCTGGTGAACAGCCTTCCTACCTGTGCACCTCCTGCCACACTGTTTTCCTGAAAGGATGGCCCAGCCTCTAGTCTCACTAGCACCATGGGAGTATGCCTGCCCAGTCTCCCTCCTCTCCCCGAGACAGTTCAGGCTGCTGAACTATTGCCAGGAGGGCAGGAGAGAGTGGGAAATGGGTTTGTCAGTGATGCCAACATGATGACCCCAGGCCCAGAACCGCGGGAGTGATTTTTAACAAGCCCAGTTCCCAGAACAGAACCTGCAGAGAAAAAGAAAAGCAAGCAAGTGAGGGAAAGACTCTGCTGGAAAAAAACACACAGAGATTAAAATAATATTTGGCACTTACGTCGCACTTTTAAAATTCTTCAAACGCTTTATAAACACTGGCTAATTAATTAAGCCTCCTAAATCTGGCTGCAGTTGGTGGAGAGAGCTTGAGAAGAGCTAAAAAAAAAAGTGGGGGGGACAGCCCTCCACAATGCTAGATTTTATTGTCGCCTCCCTGGGTGTGACTGCAGGCCTCCGGGTGCAGCACAAGAATAACCCTGCCCCAGCCATGCTCCTGGCTCCGCACCCCGTGTCCTGCTCATGGTCCTCGCCAGCTGCTGACTCACAGCCCCGTGCAGTGGTATTGATGAGGATAATAATAACCACCACTGATTACATGCGTCTATGGTCCAGGCCCAGTCCCAGGCTCCAGTCTTGGTGTCAGACCTGCCTCTAGCAGCCCTTTTAACAGATGAGGAAAGAGGCTCAGAGAGAGGATTTGCCCAGGAGCAAGTGACATCCCTCCTTCCTTCATTTTTGTGTTCATTCAGAGTGTGTTTATCAAGGGCCCAGCATGTGCCAGGCAGTGTCCTAGGCAGGGGGTCAGAAACACTTCCTTGTGGATCCTGTCTCCTGCTTGGGAAGAAATGTCAATCCAGAGAAAGTCAAGTATAATGTACCTTTGATAATGATGGGAACAAAAGCTAAAGTTTAATCAGCATGTGTGCTGCAGGCACTTATATCCAACCATTTCCTCATGACTGTCCCGGGGGATGGGTGTCCGGAGTGGGTGATGGAGACCCACAAGGGCAGCTGCTGAGCTGGCTGGGTGGGGACTGTACTCTCACCCAGGCCTGCTGGCCCCGGCATCTGTACATACTCCAAGCTGCATTTCTAGTGTTGTCTCTGGTGTGGAATGTGGGCTCATTGGGAACGTTCCTAGATGGATGCTGTTGGCAGCTGCTAATGAGGCCTGAAATGTCTCAGGGTACCTGCGCGTCTCCATGGGCCTCCTCCCTGTGTCTCCTGCACACCTGGCCACCCACTTCACCCCAAACCCCTGCCTTCTGCGGATTCTGGTTTCTTCCCTGCACCATGAGGGTTGGGCTGCCCTCAGGCTGCCACTCCTTCTCTGAGCACCAGCCATGAGAACTGGGCATGGAAGTTAGAGCTGGGATCATGGGCAGGACAAGAGGCCTGTCTTGAGGTCCAGGCTTGCCCGCAGTGAAGGCAGACAGGAGTCTGTGGCTGGACAGATTCACAAGGTCACTCTCCTGCTCAGCCAGAGGCGAGGGCCTGCTCAGGGCATCAGCTGCAGCCCTGTCTGATGTACAAAGCCAGGTGGCCTAGGTCAGGACAGGACAGGGTCACATCAGGTCAGTGGAGCAACCAGGCAGAGGCCATTTGGCCCATCTGCACCTCTGCCAGGTTGCCATCACTCTGTGTCTCTGTCTTATTCTCTCTTTTTTCTCCCTGTATCTCTGTCTCTCACTCCATCTCCGTCTGCCCCTCCCTCTGTCTATCTCTGTGTCTATGTGTGTTTCTCCAGGGTCTTCATGATCTGTCCTTTCTCCCCAGCCCCACCATGCTTAGAATCAGGGCTCCAGCTGCACCTTACTCTGAGCAGCCACAGCACCTCCTATAGCATCTTCACCCAGCCTGTCCATCTTCCTTCTGTGTCCCCCTCCCCCGACCTCCTCTAGTGGGGCTCCCCGATCGTGTACCCCAGTCCTCTTCAGTCTGGGGCTCAGGCCCCTCCTCACCACTAACCTCCTGGACTCCTTCCACCTGTCCCATCTCAGGAGCCCTTGAGGCCTGACCTGGATCCAGCCCCTGTGTGTCCCAGCGTCCAGCCTAGGCCAGGCCCACAGGAGCATCAGTGAGGGCTGGTGGGAGTGAAGTTCATTTATTCACTGTGTCCAGCTTGGCTCTCATTGGCTCCTGTGTGTCATCTCACTGTCTTTTCAGAACACACAGAAGGCTGTGGGTGTTCTTCCCTTCTTGTGGATAAGGTAACTGAGACTGAAGCAATGGATAAGGTCATGGGTGAATAAAAAGTGAGCCAGGTCTCAAACCAGTTCAGTTGGCTCCAGACACTAGACCCTTCTTTTTGACCCTGTTCTGGCCTAGGCATATTGTTTGTTCCTACCAGAGATCCATGGAGACAGGGACATGGTAACTGACAGATGAGACCCAGGCCCAGAGGGCAGTAACTCACTCCACGCAGTGCCTGGCAGCATCCAGCACACTCGCCGGCCTCCCTGTAGGATCTTCATGGTTGCCTGAGTGATGGCCAGGGTCACTCAGTAGGACTGAGCCAGGACTCACACCCAAGTCCTTGTACCCAAGTACTTCACTAGCCCATGGCCTACGGGGAACCCAACTGCCGAGTGTAGTCTCTCTGCACAGGGCCTGCTTGCTGAGCCAGACGTGAAAAAGATAGAGCCGCTCACACACACCATGCTGCCACCCACTTCTGAGCCTTTGCCCAGGCTGTCCCTTCTCTCAGGGGACGCTTGTGCCCCTTTCTTTATTCCTGGTAAATTCAGACTTGAATTCAGAGCCCAGTTCAGACATGACTTCCATAGATGGCTCAGGTACTCAGACTTACTATCTGCCACATTTTTAGCCTCTGTGTGCTTCTTTCCTCCTTTGCAGTATGGTCTCAAGTTATAGGTTCATTGTGAGGGTCACATGTGATACATGTGCAGTGGGCTGAGTTCAAGGCCAGCTCATGGTGTGCTCAGTCACTGAAACCTGTCCTTGATAAACACTTAAGAAAACCTACAGGATCACATGAGGGTGAATAAATAACTGCTTTGTGTTTTCCTGCAGGAGCGGCAGGTGAGGGGGAGCTGCAGGTGATTCAGCCTGAGAGGTCAGTGTCAGTTGCAGCAGGAGAGACGGCCACTCTGCACTGCACCCTAACCTCCCTGAGGCCCGTGGGGCCTATCAAGTGGTTCAGGGGAACTGGGCCAGGCCGGGAGTTGATCTACAGTCAAAAAGAAGCTCCCTTCCCCAGAGTTACAAATGTTTCAGATGCCACAAAAAGAAACAACATGGACTTTTCCATCCGCATCAGTAACATCACCCCAGCAGACACTGGTGTCTACTACTGTGTGAAGTTCGGGAAAGGAGAACATGGTGACGTGGAGTTTAAGTCTGGACCAGGCACTCATCTCACTGTGAGTGGTGAGTATGGCCTGGGTGTCCTTCATCCCCTGGTCTGTGATAACATGTCAACAAAAATGCCCTTCACTCTGTGAACCAAAAAAAAAAAAAAAGCAGTCAGATGCAGCAATGTGTGCTTATATCATGATCTAGACATGATATGATTTCACTCCCTTCTACAGATAGAGAAGTTGAGGCCTGTGGGGGTCATGCTACTTGCTCAAGGAGCCACAGCTGATAAAGGTGGGAAAATTCTAGAACCCCAGTCTGCCTGAGTCCTCATCTGTTGTCTTTTCCATCCCATCCAGCTCTTTGGTTCCAGGGATGAGGGAACTGAAAGTCTGAGTGACTTTCCCTGTCACAGGTCAGATCCTACCACCTGCCTCCTGAGAGTACTGCCTTCAGTGTGGCTGAGTATTCCATTTATTCAGCACCTACTGAGCACCTGCTGTGTGCCAGGCCCTGCTCTGGATGCTGTGGTGCAGCAGTGAGCAAAGCAGACACGAGCTCTTCTCCCGTGAAGCTTATGTCCTCCTCCCTCCCAAAGAGGAGAAGTCCATCCAGGGCAGGGAGGCGAGATGTGTTTATATCTTCTTCAAAAACTACACACCGAGAAGAAATTTTTAGGGCAGAGGATCAGTGTTTACTCTGATGGTACTGCTTGGAGGAGATGCCCAGAGGTTGGGTGTTTCCTGGGGAATCTGTTGAGAAAACCCTTCACTGAAGACTCCCAGCAGAGCTGGGTCATCTCAGAAGATGTTCCCCATGTGGGTGGCTTAGGGGCAGTCCCACTGAGGTAGCAAAGGTCCTTATTTAGGGTTTTCTGCCAGAGGCCCAGGATCCTCTTTCTAACTCCTGAATCCTGGACTGTCAGCACAGGAAGGACCTTTAGACACCATCCTCCAAACCCCCCAAGTACACCTGGGGGCCTGAGGCCAAGAGGTGACAGGGACCCAGACCCCAGTCACATGGTCAGTGAGGGGATCCTTCCAGAACCCCATCTGATTCTTGGTCAGTCCCCTTCCTCCACCAACAATGAGACTGGTTTCATGGAAGAGCCTGCTACAAGGAGGGAACAAAATAAAAACCCCTTAATTTGAACCATTGATCAGGCAACCTTTTCATAGGGTTCCCAAAGGTTCATAATGCCCCTTACATGCAGGCCCTGAGACCCAAGGTGATTGGGAACCTCTTCCCACTTTTGTTTTAACCATAAATCCCTCATTACAAATCATCACCTGGAGCTGCCCAGTATTTCAACAGCTGCAAAACACTTGGCATATGGAGACAACATCTACCAGTCTTTTGTTAACAAATAAACAAGTTGTTCCCAAACTTAGGTGATTAAAACAGAACTATAGTGGATAACCTTGTCTGTACATCACTCAACTCAGGTGGGAGATGCCCACTATAAGTGGCATTGCTAGTTCAGACAGTATGTGGATTTAAATTTGGGTGAAAATTGCCCCAAATTTCTCTCTTAGATGTAACAATTGAATCTCCATACAACCCCTGGTCATTGGAGAGGAAGGTGGCTTTTTCCTGATTTTACAAGTATTACTTAATTTCCCAGATGGTGGGCTCCTTGCTCACTAACCACAGCTAGTAAGTGGCCCCCGCCCCGCCACTCAGATCTGCGGCCTCCCGGGAAGCTGCTCTGCCTTTTCCCCAGGCCACCTGCCCAGATGATTCCCTGGATGAGAACGAGGGAGGGGAGGGGAGCAGCCTGTTAGGGTGCTCCCGAGCTCCGTGCACAGTGGTTGAGCCCTCTGCCTGGGCCCCCACCCCAGTTCTGCCCCGTCCTGGCTCTGCGACCTCTGATGAGTCCTTGCCCCTTGTGACAGCCCCAGCCTCACAGGGCAGCTGCAGGGACTGAATGAGGATATATGTCAAGAACTTAGAGCAGAGCCGAGCACGTGGGACAGGTTCCACCAATGTGAGCTCTGATGTCCCAGAGCCAAAGGACCTTGAAAGAGTCACTTTCCCTCCAGGACTAAGTGTAATGGGTTGGAGTGGAACTAGGTGACTTTCAACCTCAACTGCTCATTGGAATCACCTGGGAGATGGTGACAAGATCCAAGGACCCTGTCTCCACCCTAGAAATTCTAGTTTAAGTGCGCAGATGTGGCCTGGGCAGCTGAGTGTCTTAACTCCTGCAGAGGATGCTGGTGCCTAGCCAGGGCAGAGGAGCCCAGAGCTACATGTTCTCTGAGGTCACAAAGGGAGAGCTGTGGTTTTTCCCTGAAAAAGGTAGGTTCCACTTGGTGCCTGGGTCATACGAACAGATCTTTTGGGTGTTAGTTCTTCAGAATAGCCTGTGATGGTGACAGCTCTTAGGAGGCACAAGAAAGTCAGCCTGAGTGGGTTGACAGGGACACCCCTCATTTCCAACTGGACTCACCTAGGCTGAGAGGGGCTTCCTGCCCACTCAGACCACCTGTTCAGACCTGAGGTTCGTCACTAGGGAAACCTTCCCATCTTTAAACGTGTGTGTGCAAACAGGTGCTGGAATCCCCAGCAACACTCCATGCTCAGCCCAGAGCCCTCCTGCCTCAACAACCACAGTGACCCTGATGAACTCTGCACTCCCTCCTTTCAAAATGCTTCCAGCGCCGAGAAGGGCTGATCTTCAGGAAAACACCTGTGATCCCTTGTGTTTTTTGAAAGCCGGTTTCCCCAACTTTTTCCCTGAGGGGGTGTTTTTGAAAAGAGGGAGAGGATCGTAACTTGGTGGTTTTCTATTCCTTTATTCGTGTGAGTCTTTCATGGCAATTGCAGGGCACAAGGTTTGAGACTTTTCTTGTTTTTTCCACAATACTTTGTTTTGCCTTCTTACCGCCTAGAGAATAAATACCTAGGAATGACCTAGGTATGACCTGGTCAGACCTAGAAATGACCAGATATGATGACAATCTTGGTTATTATTGTTTAAGCACCTACTACATGCCAGGCTCTCTGTTTTATATACACCCTCACTCATCTTACCAGGTGGTGCTTTATCCACTTTGTCTAGTGTCACTGAGGCTTAAGAGTAAAGATCAGAGACGCTAAAATCAATCAGTCCCATGTGCAGTGAGATGAACTCTGGTACTTACTCTCTGGATGTTCTTGGCCTCATACCATAATGCATCTTCCTGGGCCTCATCCTCTAAATGGGGCCACACTCAGCCCTCCCTCTCAGAGTTGGTGGAGGGATTAAAGAGCTGAGGTTCCTAGAGGGATCAGCCCAGTGTCAGGCTCCCAAGAAACTCTTGATAAGTGGTAACTAATCACAGCATCTGCTCCCCTTACATTCAGGATGCTGACGTGTTTATGACTTGACTTACTCAAGTAACACCCCTTTACCATGTCCTCAAAATGTTTGATGAGTTTTAGGAAGCAAGTTAAATATTTACAAGCGTAGATATTTATATAGTTGCTATCTGCCAACTTTTATAGGAGGTGTTAGGTAGTAATGGACAATTTGGAGATGCCCCACAGGACCTTTCTAAAGGGAGAAACTGCCCTCACTTTTGACTTGCTGATTTGTATATATTTTCAGGATACAAAAAGTGCTTCTGCTGCTTCACAAGCCCATGTCTGTGTGTCTTCTGATTTAATAACAATTAAGAAATTAACCACCGTTGGTTTCTCAGCACTCGGTGATCTTTGTTTCAACCCAAAACTGATCTAAGAGAAGAACCCAGATTCAGAAAAGTATCTGTTTGCTCCCTTTCTTTCAAATTTAAGGATTGGTACACAGTAGTCTTACTGGAATATTTGTGGAAAGAGTGAAAACTGTGGAGTAAATTCATAAGTACCTGAAGGGGCAGCTCTGGATATAAGTATAGTCTGGGTTAAAGAGAAATCTCTGTTTATTTAGTTTGGTGAAGCATATTGTGTTTTACTCACGGCAAAAAATGCTTCCACTGACTGTTTAACTCTCACTGGAGCCCCAGGAGGAATACTGCCTGCTGCCCCACTTCATAGATGAGGAGCTAGGAAGTACCACGGTCACACCTCTCATTGGATGGCCAGCCTGGTTAAGCTTCCGCATGCTCCCACTGTGCCCTTGCTTCCCTTGCATTCACTTCTATAAATGCTTTCTCTGAACTTAAGTTTTCCAGGAGAGCCCAGCTAGGAATAGCAAATAGGAAGAATGTCTGAGACCAATCAGTACTTTTTGTTCCTATGCCCAGACTGGTGGGAAGTCACCTTGCAGAGGAAAGAATGTGGACTTTGCACTCAGACCTGGAATTCCATACCCCTGACTCAGTCACCCCGGGGAACCCATGTGTCTCCTTTCAGATGAGGATGATGACAGTGCCCTCCCAGAACTATTTGAAGAATTAAAATAATAATATATGTGATAGTTCCTAACTATGTTACATATTTTTCATTAGTGATGATAATCACAATGGTTTTCAGTGTTTATAAATGTTCCTTTCGTAGCCAAGCCCTCTCCGCCCATGGTATCCGGCCCTACAGTGAGGGCTACACCTGAGCAGACAGTGAGCTTCACCTGCACATCCCACGGCTTCTCCCCCAGAAACATCTCCCTGAAATGGTTCAAAAATGGCAATGAGCTCTCAGCCTCCCAGACCAGCGTGGACCCACAGAAAGACAACGCTTCCTACAGCATCAACAGCACAACTAAAGTGCTGCTGGCCCCAGGGGACGTTCACTCCCAGGTCATCTGCGAGGTGGCCCACGTCACCCTGCAGGGGGGCCCTCCTCTCCGTGGGACTGCCAACTTGTCTGAGACCATCCGAGGTAGATGCCCCTCACATCATCCCAAGCCCATACCTGCCCGCAAGGCCCCAACCTGCTCCTTCCCCCTGATTTTTGTTCCAGGCCTTGAATTGCCTGGAATCTACTTCCTGACAATCCTGCCCAGTCATCAGGCTTCTATATGAGCTAGTCACTTATTACTGTTTTCATGGCAGCTTCCAGGTAGATGCCTGTCATGTGCCAAGCACTGTGCTAATAGTTTACCAATAGCTTCTTCAACTACTGAGCACCTACTGTAAGTCAGGTCCCTATGTGATTAGTGATTTCATTTATTTTGCTGCAGTTATTATATTTCAACTGCATACTAGGGCTGTGCTTATAGATTGCACACATGGTTAGCCTAATAGGAGCCCAGCCTTTGAGCACCTGCTGTGTGCCCTGCCCTGTGCTTAGTGTTTTCATTCATATCCAGAGACAGCCTCAGTGCTTGAGCACCTACTGCATGCCTGGCTCTGGGTGACTCCCTGGCTTGCTGAGCTGTTATCCATCTCCTCCCCTATGACCTGTGTGTTCCATAAGGTCAGAACTTCTTCCTGTGCTGTTTCAGTTCCACCCACCCTGGAGATTACCGGATACCCCCCAGCGGGGAACCAGGTGAACGTCACCTGTCAGGTGAACAAGTTCTACCCCCAGCGCCTACAGCTGACCTGGTTGGAGAACGGAAACGTGTCCCGAACAGAAGCGGCCTCGACCCTCGTAGAGAACAAGGATGGGACCTTTAACCATACAAGCTGGTTCCTGGTAAACTCCTCTGCCCACAGGGAGGCTGTGGTGCTCACCTGCCAGGTGGAGCATGACGGGCAGCCGGCGGTCTCCAAAAACCATACCCTGGAGGTCTCTGCTCCCCAGAAGGACCAGGACACAGGTCAAACCCCTGGTGAGGTCACCATTGCAACTGAGCCAGCTGTTTATCTGTTTTTTTTTTTTTTTACTATTGAAGGTAGTAATTCATACTTTGTAAAGAAGAATCTAGAAGCCAATAGATATAAAATAGAACTTTACAGTGAGTTCCCACCTCCAAGAGTGACCACTGGTAAGAGTGTGGCATATTCTTTATAGATCTTTTGACATAAATATCCTTGAAAGAAAGAAAGCAGGGAAGGAGAGGGATTGTCTTGCTCGTGGTGTACTCTCTCGCTTTCTTCTCCTAACAGTTTCTGTGTTCACCATTCCCTGCCCACCCACCTCCTCCACCTTGCTCTTTGTGACCTGAGCCTACTCTCCCTGGCTGCCCCACTGGAATGGGGTCGGGGGCTTCAGGCCATCTAAGGCTTATCTCAAGTATGATCAGTGCTGCACTAACTGCCCTTGTACATATTCTGTTATATGCGCAGCTATTTCTATGGGACAATTCCCAGGGAATGTTGCTAGGCCCAAGTGCATGCCCGTTTAACATGATGGCGATGCTGCCAGCCTCCTGGGAGAATGACAGGTGTCAGGGTATCATTGTCTCAGCCCCTGTCCAACCAGTTATCGGCATGTCTCCCTTTCTTCAGAATGACAGTACCTGGTTGGCATTTTGGTGCCACTGTGCAATGTTCCGTCACCTGTACACGTGTACATAGCAAACCCTTTGAATGGATTAGAATAGAGGCCATTTCATTCCTTCGTGCATCCTGAAAGGGCAGCTCTAAAGAAGCCTTGGGGTCTGTCAAGTTGCCCTTTGATGCCACCATGAGCCCTGCCCTGGGAGACAGGATGTGTGGATCCACTGGCTGTCCATCTCACTGGGAAGCTTGAACAAGTCGGTGCCTGTCTCTGGGCTGCTCCACCTGCCCCAGGCAGTGTTAAAGGAGGTGACCCCGGTGACCTCTCAGCTTTGATTCTCAGCTGCTGGGACCATGGCTGTCCCAGCGTTGTGGCTTCAGGGCCAGGTAGGTAGTTGACACCCAAGAAACACTTTTAGAAAGGATGAAAGAGTGAGTGGTTGGTTGGGTAGTGAGGTGTTCCTCAGAGCTATTCAGTGAAGTAGAGATTACTATTAGCCTCAATAACATAAGAGGAAGCCAGTGGGTGATGGAGTTTAAATGACCTGCTCAAGGTCTCACAACGAGGGCATTGATTTGAACCTACATTTCTGTGGCTCCGAGCCCTGCTCCTGACTGCACTCTGTGTCCTCCTGTGGGAACCCCTCCTGTGTCTGGTGCCAGCCCCTGCACAGTCTCCATGTCAAGTGTCCTGGGCTCAGGCCCCAGGCCCCAGGCATGGACCAGGGCACTGCCTTGGGGTTTGCATGTCCAATGGCAGGTCACCCTCCTCACAGCCTTTCCCCCTGTGGTGTGTGATGCCCCAGCTGCAATTAGGAGATCCAGGCAGACCTGTGTCCCCAGGTGACCACTCTGTGGCTCACTCAGGTGAGGAGGAACATATGTCTATTCCTCAGGAGGGCAGTTCCACCCGCACCCTGCAGCTGGGGTTCCTCCACGGCTGACAGCAATGTTTCCCTCCTGGCACCTTGCCACAGTTTTTGAGCTGCCTATGGGTGACCCACAAGGGGAAGTGTGTGCAGATCCATGAACATGCCCACGGGGCCGAAACATCTGAGCCAGATGTTCTCAGTTAATGATGCCTGCCTCGTGGTGAAAAGGGGCAGTGGCTTTTCCTTTTCTTTGTTGTAAGTTTTCCTACATGAAGCCTCTATTGTGTGTGGTCCTAGGTCCGAATGGCAACAGCTGGAACGGCGTCTTCATCGTGGTGGGCGTGGTGTGCGCCTTGCTGGTGGCCCTGCTGATCGTAGCCCTCTGCCTCCTCCGAATCAGACAGAAGAAAGGTGGGTGGGTTCCCTGGTTCCTCCCTGAGAGTTTACCCCTGGGCTGTCCTTCCCAGACAGGGAGAAGCCTCTCCTTTGTGCTACATGTAGTTTAAGTCATAAGGACATCCAATTACTCCCAGTAAGAAGTCCAGGGGTACCGTTGCCTTGGCTGTGCAGCCCCTTCACCAGGCTGAAATCTGGGTGGGCCCCCTACCCTGCAGCACCACTGCTCCAGGCCTCGCAGTCTCACAGAACCACTGCTGATGTGGGAATCGGGGAGATGCCGGGGTGGCAAAAGGGTCTCAAGGAGGAAACAGTACTTCGCAGGAGCCCCTGGCAGACTTCTGCTTTCCCCTTACCTGTCCAGATTACATGCCCAGCCCCTTGGCAGGAGGCTGGAACGGAGTGGGGAGAATACCACCACCTACCTCCCAGGCTGTTGGGAGAATTAAACGAGTAACTGTGGGTACAGCGTTAGCAAGATGCCCGGCACAGCAGCAAGTTCTCAACGTTAGCTCCTATAATCAGTATTGTACGTGAGACCGAAAGCATGAACCACCTCCCTGGAAAGCTCCCCTTTAGTGGCAAGGTGTGTGGCCTTTGACTGTAGCAGGAGGGTGTAAGTTCAAATCCAGGACATTGTGCCCTGTTTGCACGCTCATTCGTGCAAGTGTGAGTGTGTGTGTGTCTGTGTGGTTGTTTCTGTTGCCAGGCCTCTTGATTTTGGAGTCAGATGAACCAGGGTTCCAGATCCTTGTTTTATGCTCTAAATAATCAGTTTGGCCTCCATAAGCCTCAGTTTCCTCACCTGTAAAATGGACGTGGCAGTGCCTGCCTCGGAGGATAGTTATGAAACAAATAAGCTCATGTGCAACAACAGCGCTGACACATTGTCAGACCTAAAAAAATGCATGTCCTCTTTCCCACTCTTGAAGACTATTTTAAGCCAGTGTTTCTGAAACCTTTTTGGCTACAAGTGATAGAAATACATTTCATGTCTCAACCCAATGCACACACACCCCATCTATAGAATTGGAACTCTGATATTTTCCTTTTTGTCATATTTTGTACTATATTCTCTTAAAAATGTTGTTTGTGACCCAGCACCACGTGCTGCAGCCGGGAGAGTGCCAAATGCCATCCTGAGCTGCATTTCTGCACCCGGCCCTCCAGGCAGAGCTTGACAGGCTTTCTGTGCCTCAGCCACACACCCCTCTTGCACCCCCTCTCCTCTGGCCCCCAAGTTTCCCTCCCCGCTGGAAGGCCTGGAGGACTCAGCCCTGAGACACTGCCTGAACCTCAAACTCCCATCTGGGAGGGTTGGCATCTCTAGAGTCTAGAAGAGGTTCTTCCAGGTGATCTGCAGGGTGGTTTTCCTAACATTCCTGGAGCCACCGCACAGACAGGACTCCTCCTTGGATGAGGAAACAGGGTCTCTTGCCCACCTTGGGAGACAAGCCAGCCCTTGGATGGAGCACTCATAGTGTCTGCTCATAAAACCCCAGCCTCCTTTGGAGCTTTATCCCTGGGCACCATGGTAGGCTCTAGCACATAGGAGCTCATTTCCGTGGGCTCGGGCATCAGCCATCCAGTGTTCTGGAGAAGAAATGGGGATTGGAGAGCTGCAGACGCTGGTGAAGGCCACCCAGCCCTGAATGGTGGGTCTGCTTGTGTGCAGAGTCCAGGTCTCAAACGTAGACTTTAGTGACAGCGACAGCTGGCCCTCAGTCAGCTCTTTTGATGTATCAGGCACTGGAGTCAGCACAGACCTCTAACTCCACTTTATAGACGAGGAAACTGGGGCATGGCAAAGTTATAGAACTTGATCAGGTCTCACAGCTGGTGAGTGCTGGTGCCAGGATTCACATGACACTCCAGGAACCATGTTTGAGACCACGCTGCCCTTTACCGCTGCCCTAATGAGACACCCCCTCTCCCTTGTCAATCCCCAGAGGTGTCTGCCATCCTCTTCCTCATACTCACAGTGAAATATCCTAATTTCAGCTCTATCACTTACCCGTTGTGTGACCTTAGGGAGTCATCCAGTGTCCTTAGTGTGAAATGGAGATGATCAGTGTCCCATCACTGGACTCCCTGAGATGACTCGTGTCCCAGCACTTGGCAGCCCATCAGCCTCCAGTCAAATGTTAGATGCTGAGCTGCTGCATCTAATGGGTACCACTCACCCAAAAATCCAATACCTGCCCAGGCACCAAGCGTTCATCTGGCAGTGAGAATTCTTGCAGTGTGGCAGCCTCCAGCCTGCTAATATGTGATACAGAGCACACTTGCCTGTGCCTGTTGCTTTTTAATTACAATTTTACAGCAAAATCAGAGTCAAATGGTGGCGAACCCCAGTGGCTTCTCTGTGGGGTGCCCCACATCACAGGCTCAAAACTTCTGAGCCAGACAGACCCTTTCTTTCCTCCCATGGTCCTTTTTGCAAAGGTGGTGAGTGAAAATGAATGTCCAGCCCACCCGTGTGACTTAGAGCATGGAGATCTAACCTCAGAGAGGGAAAATGACCCACCCAGGGTCACGCGGCATGTGAGTAGGTGACAGAAGTGGAATTTGCTTCCCTGCTGGCTCAGACAGTAAAAGTGTCTGCTTACAATGCGGGAGACCCAGGTTCTATCCCTGGGTAGGGAAGATCCCCTGGAGAAGGAAATGGCAACCCACTGCAGTACTCTTGCCTGGAAAATCCCATGGATGGAGGAACCTGGTGGACCATGGGGTCCCAAAGAGTCGGACACGACTGAGTGACTTCACTTTCACTTCCCCCAATTAGCAGTTCTGCCAGAACCTGTTCTCCAGCAGTGAAGGGTCCTGATGGGCACCCAGGCTTGCTGTAGGGTTTCAGGTAATGGGTGTGATGGATGGAAGTGAGGCTCAGCCAGAGGTAGGGCAGCTGGCCCTCACGGACTAAAGGTTACTTTGGCATCTGACCTCTGGCAATTCCCAGAAATGGGAAAGCTGGCAGGCCCAGCTCTTCCTGCTGGAAGATAATGGACCACCCACCCCACTGGGATGGGCATGGGGTTTCCTGTGGTTTGGAGGATATGATTTCAACAATTCCTCCCAACATTCTGGGGGCAAGCCTCTGCACCCTCCAAAAAGTAATTAGAAAAGTGTGTTTCTAAGTTGAATAACTGGCTTTTTTTTTTTCTCTTCTCTTTCAGCCAAGGGCTCCACTTCTTCTACAAGGTAAGTATGTCACTGGGCTGGAGTGCTTTTGCAGTTATTTGGTTGTTTGCCCCCAAAACTGCCGAGCAGAATCCGCACCCACTGACCCTCACTTCTGTGCCAGTCAGCCTTCCTGTGGCTTTCCTTTGTAAGCTCCTCTCACCAGGTCTGCCTGTAACTACTGTCTCAAGTGAGGGCATTTCAGCACACAGAGGCACTGATTTCCTGCCTGCTGCCCACAAACAGTGAGACCCTTATCAAATCCTGTTTGGACTGTGGCAGAAACTCCTGCACATGCCATCCCCAAATCTAATTGTATACTGTGCTCTTTCCTTCGTTCATTAAGTTTTAATGGAGGGCTTTGACACAGGTAGCCTGGGCAATGCCAGGGTAGGTGGGTATGACAGATGCACCTGTGCCTCCTGAAACCTGTACCTTGGTCAGAGGCTAAATCGATGACATTATATCATGGAAGGTACATTCGTTGGTTGATTTAACATTTGCAGTGATTTTTGCTGAGTCCCTACTGTCTGCCAGCTCTGTTCTGAATGAACAAGACTCAGTCTGGACCTTCATGAAGCTCAGATGCCTGTGAGAGAAGCAGGCAATAAGTGTGGAGGTGAAACAGTCTGTAATGTCATGTCAGGTGGTGACAAATTAAACACAGCAAGGGGATGGAGATGGGGGCAAGGGCAGGGCCTCCTCTGAAGAGGGAATATGAGCAAGGACCTGAAGCTAGGAAGCCGTGAGGGGGCATAGGCTGGGCGAGAGAGCAGGCAAGGTGAAGGCTCAAGGTGGGCAGTGCTGGGAGGATGGGGGAGGCCAGTAGTTGGGGCAGAAGAAGCAAGGGGACAGAAAGGGATGAGGTCAGAATGTGCAGCCCACGTGTCTTAGCTGCAGCCCACGCAGCAGGTGGGTGACTAACCCAGATTCTGCTGCTTTGGGGAGGCCCCCCTCCACCAACATTCACCCCAGCAGAGTAGAGGCCACACCCCATCACCTGTGACGTGAATGTGCCTGTGTGGAAACATGAACATCGACTCTGAGTACAATAAATACAAACTATAAATCGCTTCATGTTCATTCAGAACAGGTTTTGCCATCAAATGGGTTTTGCCGATCTTTTGATTCTTTTAGCACTTTGTGGATTTCAGAATTGCAAAGCAGAACTGAGGATCTGGAGTGGAAGCCAGTGTCTAGGGGCTATGGCTGTTAGGACTGTGGATTTGACTGCCAGTTAGATGAGGGGGCATAAGAGGGAGCTGATCTGACTTTGTTTTAAAGGTACCGCTCTGACCACCATGCGGGAGCCACGCTGTAGGAGGGAGGGCGGAGGCGGAGAGGCCAGGCAGGAGGCTGCTCCAGTGGTCCTAGCGGATGGCTGTGGCCTGGATGGGCTGAGAAATGGTCAGATTCTGGATATAGTTTGGAATCAGAGCCAAGAGGACTTGCTGACAGATTGTAGGGTCAGGGACAACCACACAGTTGGGGGGAAGGGAGTGCTGTGTCATGTGTTTGGGGGGGGTCACAGGTGATGGGTATGGTAGGGGGCAATACCAGGCCTGTGGTTGCACACAGCAGGAGCACCTAACCCATCTGAGGGGCCCTAGGAAGCACTGGGCCCTCCTGCCACACCAGGAGTCTGTGGTAGCCTTGGGAGAAAGCCTTGCTTTCTGCTCTGACCTCCACAGGGGGCTCCCTGCTCTGAGCCCTGGCCAGCCTCCCAGCCTCCTGGTCCCCGAACAAACAGCCACCATTCCAGCAAACCGGGCTCCTCACACCCCCGGGGAAGTGTGTTTCCTGTGTTGCCATGCCTTCACGTGCCACACTTCCCACACCAAGTGCTCTTTCCCAAGAGCAAGGCTTGGCCTTTGCCTGGCAGCCCCTAGTGACTCCCTGTGGCCCTCTGGACAGTCCAGATGCTCTCCTGAGGCCCTCAAGCCCCTTGCAGTGCAGCCCTGCTGAGCCAGATAGTTTCACTTCCTTCCATTCCCAGGGCTCTAATTCCATGGCTCAGCCTCGGCCTCCCACCTCCTCCCTCATGCTGCATTCTCGTTCTCCTCACCCTTGTGCTCCCCACCCCTGCTCCTGTATCACCCAGGGTCTGCACAGCTCCAGGGCCCGGCAGTCACAGCAGGTTCTGAACGGCACCCCTTGGAGTGGGGCTAGCGTGGGTAACCCTCCTTTTTACTTGGTTACCTCCTGCTCTTCCTTCTGGGCTCAGCAAGAGCATTGCCTCCTCCAGGGACAGAGGCTCCTCCTGGGAGCTCTTCTGGTGTCCCTGGATTGACAGCCTGGTGTATTCAAGCTGTCTCTGCACTTGTCCCTGTAGTGTGACCTACCCCTCTTCAAGGCAGGATGGCTTACCTCCCTCATGTTCCTTGCTGATTGCTGCTGAACTTGGCACTGTGCCTGGAATGGAATAGGTGCTCAGTAAAAGTTTATTGAATGAATAAACGCTACCCCAAACCACTCCAATAATCCCTGGTCTCTGACCTCATGAATCCCTAAAACTATCCCTGTCAGTGGCTTCACAGCCCCAAATATGGAAGGAGCTCTCTTTTTTGTTTCATTCTTACTGTTGTCACTATTTTTATATGTCTTATCTCCCCAATTATATAATACATTTCTGGAAGAAAAGGGCTGTGTCAATAATAATAATGACAACAGCATCAGCAGCTAACGTTTATTGAGCATTCACTGTGTTCTAAGCACAGATCTATGATTTTACCTATATTAGCCCATTGGTGACTTGATTATCACAAAAATCCTGTGGTTTACTATTATCCCAGTTTAATTCAGCAGAGGTTCTCAAACTTGAGTGTGTGGCAGAATCCCTGGGAAGGCTTATTAAAACGCAGATTACTGGCCCCTTCTCTTGAGTTTCGGATGCAGAATTTATATTTATAACAAGTTCTCAGATGGTGCTGACACTGCTGTTTCTAAGCCAGACTTTGAGAACCCCTGCTTTAGAAGTTTATTATTGTCCCTATATGTGGTTGAGGAAACTGAGGCTCAGAGAAGTTTTGTGACCTTCCCAAGGACCCACAGCTAGCAAGTGCGGAACCATGAGTCAACCCAGGCTTCTCCGATGCTGAAGCTGAGGCTCTTTATCACTGATCTAGTGCTTCTTTCTGCCTGTTTTTCCTTCCCCAGAGAAGCCAACCGTTTTCTGCCTGTTTTTTTATTTTTTTTAGTTTTTGAGCATGAGCCTACCCAGGGAGCCGTGAGATCACTTGCTCCCTTTGATCTCTCTAAACCAAAGCGCTAGCTAGTGAGCGGTACTGGTGCTTTTCCACGCAGCTGCCAGCTTCAGCTCGGCTGTCTGGGATCAGACACTTTCCAGAGAATGTTGGCGTGGGTAATAACCCAGCTTCCCGGGAGGGGGAGGGGCAGTGGCAAGAGTTGGGGGCGCCTCTGCTTTGAACTCAAAGGGCCCATCAGGTTGCAGGGCCAGTGGGAGGACTGGCTATTTCTAACTCCCTGGGTTAGGAATGTACAGGAGAACATTATAATCTTCCCCAGCTCAGATGAGAGGAAGATGTGGCTCTGCTCCCTTAATTGGGCACTGGGGTTCATTCGGTTGGCCATTTGTTCACTTGTCAGACATTCACTGCGTTTATTCTTAGAATAGTTAAGGCTTCCCTGATTCTTTCATTTATTCATCTGGATTGAGCTCCAGGCCTTAAGCTGGGGGGATTGCAAAAAGGAACAAAAAAGACACTAGCCCTGGTCTGTGGCACTTTTGATCAGATGGGAGAGATGTTTAGTCATTCATTCAGCAAACATCTCTAGTGTGCTGATGATGCACCGGCCCATTACTAGGTGTCGAGTCTCCGGTGGTAAACAACATGGACCTAGTCCCTGCTCGCATGGAGCTCGTGGTCCACAGGGAGGCAGGTTACCATACTAGCTGGGAGGTCAATACGTGGTGTGTTACAGGTGCTGACTAACACACAGGCTCAAAGTAGAGGCTGAAAGGGGGGTGCAGTGGGTGGTCAGGGAAGGCCATCTAAGGCGGGGACATTTAGATGACAGCTGAGGCTCTAGCCTTGGGAACCTCAGGGGCAAGAGTGGGCCAGGCAGAGGGAACGGCCAGTGCCAAGACCCCAAGGCAGGAGCAGCTGGACGTGTTCATGGACCGAGGAGGAGGCAGAATGGGGGAGAGGCAGGGGGGAGGGCGAACAATATGGAGTGAGCAAGGGCAGAGACAGAGGACTAGAGCACATCACATGGGCCGGGCGGTCAGGACACAGAGATGGATTTTACTGTGTTGTGGGAAGGAGTTGAGGGTTTTGAGCAGAAAAGTGACCTGATATCACGTATGCATTTTACATGTGGAGACTGGAGTGTGGGGGGTGGGGGGACAGAAATAGAGCAGAGACACCAGGGAGGAAGCTCCTCAGAAATTTGAAACCTGGATGGTGGCGATGATGGTGTTGGGTATGTATTTTGGAGGCAAAGTCAACAAGCCTTGTGGTGGATTAGACATAGGTTGTAAAGGAGGAGGAAGGAGAATCGGGGGGCGGTTCCCATTTTTTTAGCTGAGCACAAGGATGAGTAGTAGCAATGCCATTCACTGAGATGAGAGAGACCCGAGGAGAGATAGACATGACAAAATGGATAACTGCTTCCGATCCATAATTATCGCTCTGAGAGAGGAGCCCAGTGTTCTGAGAATGGATTTGGGGATAGTGAAGGTTTCCCTGAGAAATGACCATTTGAAACTACTCTGGGGGGAGAGAAGGAGTGGATCAGAGGAAGAGGCAAGGTGGACTGACTGTGCCAAGGCATTGGGGCAGACTGATTGGCATTCATTCCAAGTCACCTTTGAGCACCTGTACCCATGTGGTGAGGAAGCATGGCAGGCAGACAGACATACAAACCCGATGGGAAAATATGCAAGGAGTTTGAAACTGTCATGGAGGGACAGCCCAGCCAGCTTAGCACTGTCAGAAGCCGTCCCAAATAGGTGACAACATAGTTGTCTTGAAGGATGAACAAAGGTTAACCAAAAGGAAAAGTAGTTCAGGAGGTCCTTCAAGGCTGTTGACATGTAAAGTGCATCACAGTGAGTTGCCCTTGAGAAATATTGGGTGGGTGTGATAAGTGGGTGAATGAGGATGAGGGAGTAAATGAGTCTGGGTTGGTGGATGAGGGGCAGGTGGGTGGTCAGCCAGGGCCAGACTCCATGGGACATACAAGCAGGTTGAGGTGTTGGACTTAAACCAGAGTCAGTGAGGAACCAGACAGGTTGGAAGCAGGAGGGGCATGGATGGAGCCGAGTGAGCAATCTTCTCCAGACAGCGTCCCTGCTCCCAGAGGGCCGTTGCTGTGGCCACGTGGGGCCCGTCATGCCCCAGAACTGCTTTCTGAGCCAAGCACTCATGCCAAATCCATTAATAACCCCGCTGCCAAGCCCCATTGCTCATTTCTGACATGAGCCAGGCTAACGTCCCCAGAGTGGCTGGCTTGAGAATTTACACAACTGTCGAACCAGTAGCTCTGGTTTACTCACCACCTTGACTGTGACCCTGCAGTGAGCCAAGCCACAGCCTCCAATTACAGAATCAAGTGCATGAACGGCTTCTTTGATTAATCAGAACACATGGCCCTCCTCTTTTCTTTTCTTAATGATAAGACTTAGGTGTGTAGAATATAGAACATTAGGAAAACATGGGAAACTAAAAAGAAGAAAAAATACCACCGCAAGACCACTGCTGTTAGTGTTTCACTGTTTCCTTCCAGTGTTATCTACACACTTTTCATAACTGAGATCTTGCCACAGAGAATTTTATGCTTATCATTTTAGTGTAACCATTTGTAATAATAAAAAAAAAGAAAGCCTCCTCATAAACCTCTTAAGTCTTTATCTACAAAATCTATCCTGATTTCCTTAACCGGTCCCAACTGGTGGAGCTGTGAGATGTGAACCTCCCTCTCCCACCTCGTTCTGTGGTAAATGCTTTAGTGCACAAAGCTTTTTCTATATTTTGAATACCAATACCCCCCAAATGTGCAGTTATGAGTCAAAAGATGAGGGCACCTTCCAAGCTCTTGACTTTGACAAGCTGTTTCCAGAGAGCATTATGCCGGTCAGCCCCTCCACCAGCAGTGCATGAACCTGCCAGTCTCACCGCACCTTCCCCAGCACCGAGTATTACAGTTTTTAAAGATCCTTGATGATAAAGTAGGTTAAACAAACAAACAAAAAAAAGTAGTGCATTGTTGAAAAGTCCTTTGGTCCAAACATGTGATCAGCAGTTGTGTTTCTGTTGGGAACGGCTCATCCATGGCCTCCACCCGTATAGGAAGTGGAACCTAAATGTTATTCTTATCCATGTGCATGAGCACTAGAGATAGTGAGGGTATTTTTATCTGTGCGTCTCTTTCCTTTTTAGGCTGCATGAGCCCGAGAAGAACACCAGAGAAACAACTCAGGTACAGTCCTTGGTGAGATGCCCTTCCTGGGAGATCGGTGGTGTGATTTCCTTGCATCAACAGGAATTGCAGATCCTGTTCTAAATTAAGACTTCTTCACCAGGGTGGGTGGGTACCGGGGGTGGAAGATCCTTACATTCATTCCTGAGTTCTCCCCTCCCCTCCTCCCTCCCCCTCTCCCCATCCTTCCACCCACCCCACACACACCACCACCACCACACACACCCCCCACCCCCCGCCCCGGCTCCAGCCTGGAGAGTCTGTCCCAGCCGCTCTCAGTGCCAATCACCACACAACTTGGAAGGGCCCCATCCACCACGTGTTCTGTGTAAATGGTGCTTCTGGAGTTGGGCTTAGTGTTCGTCACGCCATCCGGCCTCCATGCCTGTGCCCAGCCAGTCCCTCTAGCGGGAGCACCCTTGCAGCCCTGTGTCTCTCACGTGGGGAAACACACAGCACTGCACTGCCTTTGCTGATGGGAAGACCCCATGCCATTGATCACCTCATGCAATGGCACATGCCCCTGGAGCTGGCAATTCCACCCCAGCATTATTGAAGAGGCTTTGCAGTCACCATGATTGGTGGCCTGTTTCTGAGAACCCTGGCCCTGTCTGCACTGGCTGATGCTATCAGACCTTGGGAGGCAGAGGGCTCCTCAGCATCTTATAAGGAGACAGGCCCAGCCCTGAACCTAGAATGAGAAAAGCCAGCTGTCCTTGACATTTCCCTGGCAGTTGTCATTGCTGTAGCTGTAATTTGTTGAAGAGAGCCAGACTGGCAAAATGCACAGTGTTTGTAGGCCAAAACTCTCCCGACTCAGTGCCAACTTGCCCTCCCCCACCCGTGACCATAGGCACAAGCTCAGGCAATGATTAGAAATACAAGACAATTTCCAATCATGGGGCAGGAAGGCTTTTTCCCCAGTCATTTTACTTTCTAGATCTTTAAAAGTCAAAGTTCTTTCTGGAATTTTCCAGGGAAAGAATGATGGTGAAAAGAGCTGGTCACTGAATCCTGTACAGAATTTACAGTCAGTCAGGACTTACTGAGCACCTACTATGTGCCAGGCCCTGGGCAATGAGCAGGGCTCTTGTGAGCTCGCAGCCCCGTAACTAGGACCCCCAGCCCGGGGCCAGCCTTTACTGCTGGCATGGGTTTTCCAGAGAAAAGTGAACAAGCATGCAGGGTTGAGGACAGGGGCCATGTGTTCGGACCACAGCTTTAGAGGCCAGCAGTCCTTGACTCTTTTCTAGCTGTGTGACTTTGACCCAGTTATTTCACCTCCCTTGCTATAAGGTTCTTCACCGTAAGGTAGGATAAATATGTCTTACCAAGCAGGGTTGTAATAGCACCTAAATCAGGTGGTCCACGTGAGAGCAGGGTACCCAGCAGCCGTCAGGGTCTGAGGTTATTGTTGTGCGTCAGGTGGGATCATGGGTGTTGGTCACTCCCCTCCACTTCCACAGTTAAGTTGCTAGGCACAATGAAGCCAAGTGTGTCTTTCGTGATGGGTAATTTCAAGATGGTAGTTGTGAGTAATAAGATAGGCACATAGGAGCAGCTCAGGTTTGCCAGGTGGTAGATGATTGCTGACATGTGCTGAACCTCCATGCACCTGGCATGAGCCAGGCTCTGTCCTGAGAGCATTACCTGGACCACCTCATCGGAGCCTCCCAGTGACCATGGCAACAGATACTATTATTAGACCTCCTTTAAAAATGAGGAAACCAAGGCCCAGAGAGGGTAACTGAACTGCCCAGTCCCTCAGCCAGAGAGAACAGAACCAGGATTCACACTCCGACTTCTGCCTACGAAACCTTTGCCTCCTGTTAACTGCTGGCCTCATTCTCACAAACTCCCATCCTCTCTCCCCCAGTCCTCAGCTTCACCTAGAGTGGGGCTGGAAGAGTTGCCATCCATTTATTCATCTACCACTCATTCATTCATTCAACATTGATTGGTTTTTTCTGTGCCAGTCTTGATTTTTGCATCATAACAAATGCCTAGTGAATACTTGTTGAATAAATGAGTAAATAAATGAATGTTCCCACCAACTGGGGATCAGCAGCTACTCACACCCCTGGATAGGCACAGACAGTCCTAACTAAGGGGTTTGGTGCTGTGATGGAGAAGCACAGAGGAAGGTACAGAGTCATGGTCCTGGACCCAGCTGAGAGGAAGGTCTTAGGATGAAATTGACAGGGTGCGTTGGATTTCATTATAAGGAGAAAGGGGGCTGGATACTCTCAGCAGAGGCAAGAGCATCAGGAAAGGCAGGCAAGAACTGCAGGACGGGTGACATTGAGGCAGGGCTTTGAAGTGACCACACTGACATTTAGGAAGAGCCTTCAGGCTATATGAGGAGGCTGACTAAAAGGGCAAGGCTGGAGACAGGAGACCTCGGCTGGAGAAAAGGGGGCATGAATTAGGGCTGAGCCAGTGGAGGCCAAGAGGAGACAGAGCATCCGGACTTGGTCCCAGTGGTGACTGGCAGGGGCTCCAGAATGACCTTCTCTCTATCTCATTTAGATCCAAGACAACAATGACATCACATATGCAGACCTGAACTTGCCCAAGGGGAAGAAGTCAACCCCCAAGGCCAATGAACCGAACAACCACACAGAGTATGCCAGCATTCAGGCCCGCCCGCCACCCGTATCTGAGGACACCCTCACCTACGCTGACCTGGACATGGTCCACCTCAACCGGACCCCCAAGCAACCGGCCCCCAAGCCTGAGCCATCCTACTCGGAGTATGCCAGTGTTCAGGTCCAGAGGAAGTGAACAGGGCCGTGGTCATCTCTAGGGTCTGTTCCCATGAGCCTTCCTGTCCCACACGGAGCAGCCGTAGTGAGGACAACCAGCCCAGTTCCTGGGGGGCTAGGGTGGCAGAGGCCCTGGGACCCAGGAATGAGGGTAGCTCTTGTCTCCTCAACCCAGTTGGCTCACCAGCATTTCCGGGGTAGCCGTGACCCCTCCAAGTGGCCACACATGGAGGCTGGTGTTGCCAGACCAGGCGGGGAGCCGGCCTGGGAATTGGCCAGAGCCACAGTGGGTGCGAGAACTCTCACGCCTCTGTCCGTCAACTGTGGGTCTTGGTCATGGTCTTGGAGACCCCTGATTGCCTCCTTGACGCTCCACAGCTTGATCTTCCAGAGTGAGGAGGGAGAAAACATACCTCCTCTTCCCCCCGGCACCACCAGCTGAGGCTTTGGGGAAAGCCATCCCCTTTAGATTGAACTGCCTGTCCATGGGGAAGCTGGACCCACCTCCTGAGACCTGGTGTAGTGGCTGCCAGCAGTCCTGGCCTCCCCCGACCTGGAGTGATCGGCCACAAGCCCTGGGGAGGAGAGGACCCTCTGAGGAACTCCTCCAGCACCAAGGACTGAGGGACAGAAACACCCTTCCTCCTCGCAGCCCTCGAGACCTAGAGGACCCGTCATCCTGACTGTGATGCTCCATGTGGCCCCACCTCTCCTTTCCAGACCTGAGCTCGCTTCCTCCAGCAAGCACTAACTCACAACATCTCGCTGTGGACGCCTGTAAATTATTGAGAAACGTGAAATGTGCAATCTTGAAACTGAGGTGTTAGAAAATTTGATCTGTGGTGTTTTGTTCTGTTTTTTTTTTTTTTTTTTCTTAAAACAACAGCAGCGTTATCTTGGCTCTTTGTCATGTGTTGATGCGCGTGGTTGGTCTTGCACAGTCTGAGGCTGAACGGTCGGTTGTCCTGGAGAGAATCACTCATGGCAGAAACTGAGTTCCTCCTGGTCCCAGAGCCCTGAGGATGGGGCAGACATTTCCAGGTTGGCTGCTCCATGGAGACACTTAGCCTTCCTTCCACGTGGCTGGTTCTTCTGCTTCCTGAGCACCCAGTGTGGTAAGTCTGAACCCGTCCCTACTTCTCCAGGCTGCCTCCTTCTCCACGAGGTCTGGTCGAGACCTCATGCTTCAGTCTGCTTACCTGTAAAGAGGAGGGAGGAAAGATGCCGTCCCTCGCCTCCATCTCTCACAAGCACTTTAGGGCCATGCAGGGTAGGAAGCTGTGCCTGGCTGTCCCCACCCCCACCCCCACCCCCCACCATTCCAGCTCTCTGAAGACAGAATCTTCCATTTCTGTTCCCAAACCCTATTAGGATCAAACTGGCGTAAATCAAAGACAGCCAGGAGGCCTGGACATCTGTGAAGCCAGGAATGACCCACCGTCTGTCCCTCTGTCTCAAGAGGTTGGGCAGAGGCTCTGACCCCATTACCCTCAGAACCCTGGCCCTTCCAATTCAGTGTGGCAGCCCAGCTGGGCCCAGGGCAAGCAGGTGTCACAAGCCCTGTTTATTCAGTTTCCACATGTAACTGATCCACTCTCAGAGCTGAGATGCTAATCTTCACTGCCCCCTGGGTCCAGCCATTGGATGCCCAAGGGAGTCCTGGCACAGGCTGTCAGAGCCAGAAGCTGAGCCATCCTGCATATCAGCAGGTCCTCCAGGTGGAACCCTGGGAGGCCAGCACAGACCTGCCTCTCTGGGGAAGGGTGATTTGTATTACACGATGGCATCCAGGAACTGGCTGAGCCGACAGGCCATGTGAGCAGCTTTGGCCCCATGAGCCGGAGTTTCTCTGTGGCATCTGGGAGCTCAGTGTCCCAGCCACCTGGCTCGAGCTACTTCCAAATTCCACAAGGTTGGCTTGTAAACCCTGGTCTCCCTCTCTTTTACCCAGAGAGAGCACACGTGTGTGAGCACACACAAGCACACACATAGAATTTTAAAAGAATGTTTTCTTGGTGCCACTTTAATTTTATTTTGAATTTTGGAAGAGGAGTAAGGAATGAGGCCAAGGAAGTCATGTAGTTTAGACTTAGCCTGGCAGCCTGGAGATTCCCATACCTTGTGTATCGAACCCCAGGAAAAGGAAACGGTCCAAACAACAGTACGGAAGGAGCATGGTTTCGGGAGTTTATTTTCAGACTGTGGGGAAGGAAACAGGCCCCATTTTGTATATAGTTGCAACTTAAACTTTTTGGCTTGCAAAATATTTTTGTAATAAAGATTTCTGGGTAACAACAGCCCCTTTGGATGTTGAGTATCCTTGTCTCTGTGAGTTTGTCCTGTCCACATGAGGTTGGGAGAAGATTGCCTGGGCCCCAGGGCTTGGAAGCAGCCTCAGCATTTGGGCCTGTCTCTGGGGCTTTCCAGGGAGCTCAGCGGTAAAGAATCTGCCTGGCAATGCATTTGACACAGGTTCAATCCCTGGGTCAGGAAGATCCCCTGGAGAAGGAAATGGCAACCCACTCCAGTATTCTTGCCTGGAGAATTCCATGGACAGGGGAGCCTGGCAGGCTACAACCCATGGGGTCATAAAGAGTCAGATATGACGGAGCAAGCACACATGCACACTTGGATTTTATAGACACAAAGACTTCGTTTCCCCTGGTTCATAGGGAGTCAATGTAAGAAAGCCCAAAACACCTGCTTGAGCAAAATTCCAACAGAAAACCAAGTTTGAATCCCAGATCTGCCTCTTTGTAGCTTTGAGAACAAACCACTCACCTCGCTGAGACTCAGGGCAGTCGTCAGCACGATGTAATACCCTTCCAGGGTTGGTGTGGGCATTAAAGGGTTGGCACATGGCAGGCTTTTGCTGAGCATTGGCTCTTTCCTTTCTGCCCTAAACACTGCACAGAGGGGACTGGTTGCCCCTCACTACCTGTAGGATTTTGGACAAATGGGTCACCTTCTTGGGGCCCCACTTTCCTCCTCTACCAAATGAGGAGCTAGTGCTTATCCTAGACTATCCCTGCTGGATAATTCATATCTAGTGCTAGTAGGTGCTCAATAAATGTTGATGTACCCTCCATAAGAATATTAACAATATGAATGACAATTATATAATGATGTCAACATAACATTTATAGTCAGTGCTTACTGTGTGTTGGCACTGTATGTTGATTAACCCTTTCATACCTCACAAGTCCAGGTAAATAATAGTGCTGACCTCATTTTATAGACAAGGCACAGAGAGGTGATGCAACTGATGGTAGGGTCACACAGCTAATAAGTGACGCTGCTGAGACAAACTCCAGCTGCCAGCTTCAGAGACCAACTTCTAGCCACTGAGTTAATAGCATCACATTACGTATTAGCACTGACTATGCGAAAGTATTAGCAATTATAAAAGCCAGTACCTGCTATGGTAAGTAATATGCCAATGCTTTGTAATTATTAACTCATTTAATCCCCCAACAACCATGTGAGGTAGAAACTCTTTTTATTCCTATGTTACAGATGAGTAAGCCAAGGCACAGAGAAGTGAAGTCCTTTCCCTAATGCCCCGCAACAGAGCACTAGGAGTCTGGCCCTTCCCCATCAAGTTTAATTCTCTTAATTGTCCAATAGCAGTGGCAGCTGTGTGCCCATTTTGCAGAGAGAGAAAGTTGAGGCTCAGAAGTACCCATGACCTGGCCAATCTCACACAATGAATCTTTAGTGGAGTTCGGACTTGTACTTGAATCCATAAGCCCACCGAGGATCAGTCCTGAGATCTTGGCCTGGTCCATGTGGTCACGCAACGAACTTCCTGCGGGGCTCGGAGAGGTTGCTTGCCTCACAGGCCAGGACCTTGGCAGGTGACAGAGAATTTAGATCCCCTTCCTCAGCCCCAACCTGTGAAATTATGTGTGCCCATCGTGGGATGAGGTGTTCCAGGCAGGAATCCAGGCCCAATGGGCGGGGAAATGCCTTTGTTCTCTGGGAAGGTGGGGGCGGAGGACTGCAGGTCCAGGCAAGAGAGGTGGGGATAGAATTCATGCAGGACCTGGGACTTGCTTCTCCACAGCCCAGATCTCTGGGGTTTAGGTTGGTGGGCAACCTCTAGTTGATGGGAGCCAAGTGACCCTCTCCCTCCTGCCAGCATTCGGCATTTATCAGGCATCTCCTCTGTGTTCCTTGAGCAAAGCAGAGTGATAACCCCCCCACCCTGCCCCACCCATGAGGACCCATTGGCCTTGACTTCTGTAGCCCCTACCCACTTTACATTATAATCAGGAAAATCTCTGCTCCTTCTCAATCCTTGACCTGGTGGCTCAACTGGTAAAGAATCCACCTGCAATGCAGGCGACCTGGGTTCAATCCCTGGGTTGGGAAGATCCCCTGGAGAAGGACTGGCTACCCACTCCAGTATTCTGGTCTGGAGAATCCCGTGGATTGTATAGTCCCTGGGGTCACAAAGAGTTGGACACGACTGAGCGACTTTCACTTCACTCTCAAGATTCTAATGCTCAACAGTAAAAAACCCTGCATCTTCCAGCATGTTCCCACCAGCCAAGATTCAATCTAGATTTCTTTATTTAGTTTTAACATAAGCCCTTACTGCATATTACAAAGTCTCCTAAACTCTGTCCAAATATTAACTTATTTAATATCAGTTCATCTGTCCTCTTAACAAAGCTTTAAGGTAGGTCCTATGATTTATCCCCCATTTAACAGAAAGATTAGGAGTCTTGTTCAAGGGCCAACATCTGCCTGGGCAGTGGTGCTGCTGTGGGTATGGGTGGGCACCAGATAGGCATGTTGGGGGCTGGGGGTTGCTGGTGAGACAGTGGGGACCACAGACAATGATGGTGTACACTGGGCTCTACTGGGAGCCAGGAAACACAATGTGGTCTCACCCCCAAAGTGCCAGGGTGGTCTCGCTCTCCTGCCTGGTCAACAGCCAGCCCAGGCAACTTTGGGCCTCCCCAGGGTTCAGCCTGTCACCACTGGGGTCCCCACTGTGGCCCCCTTAACCATTACACTGTGTTTGATTAGGGGCTGGATTTGTTTTCTGAATACAGGATTATGAAACTTAAAGCATTTTCCAAAAAGATATGGGCCCCAGATGTTCAGAAACAGGCAAAAGCTTGGTGACAGAGGTCAGTGGGGGCTACCCTTGGAGGAAGCAGCGGAGGGGAGGGGGCTTAGGGCCATCTGGGGTGAGAGGAAGCTGCTTCCCCACCCAAGTGGTGCTTACATGAGGACTTGCAAATGTGAAAAGCCATCAAGCACACACTCAAGGTCTGCATTTCTCTACATACAAGTCACACCTCAGAGTCTTAAAGAGACTAGTGCCCTAGGGATTCAACCCCACCCCCAAATTGATGCCTGCCCCAACCTGACACTTTCTTGGGATGGTATCAGTTCTTTATCTTTGGTCCAGGAGTCCAGCCCTGGGCCTGGGCCTTGCCCAGGTGAGGGCTTAGAGAGCATTGCTAGATTCCTTTGAAAAATAATATCCAGGTGATGAAAAGAGCAGGGCTTCCCAGGTGGCTCAGTGGTAAAGAATCCACCTACCAATGCAGGAGACACAGGAAACGCAGGTTCAATCCCTGGGTCGGAAGATCCTCTGGAGAAGGAAATAGTAACCCACTCCAGTATTCTTGGCTGGGAAATTCCATGATGAGAGGAGCCTGGCAGGCTCCAGGCCATGGAGTCACAGAGTCGGACACCACTGATCGTCTGAGCAGACACAACCAAAATAGCAGACGAAACAGTGATAAACCATTTATCATCTCTTGGTCTAGTGAGACTCCCTTAATTACCCCTCTATCACCCTGTGCCCACACCCCTCCTCTCTCCACCTAAGGGTGTCGAGACAGCTGCTCAGAGCCCTCACCCTGTGACCCTGGACAAAGGGCTTCACCTCTGAGCCTCCATTCGGTCACCTCTGAAAGGGAGCAGGGGGTGGTAGCCTTCACTTCAGGGGGTTCTGTGATGTGCTGCGCTCAGTTGATTCAGTCATGTCCAATTCTTTGTGACCCTTTGGACTGTAGCCCTCCAGACTCCTCTGTCCATGGGATTCTCCAGGCAAGAGTACTGGAGTGGGTTGCCATGCCCTCCTCCAGGGGATCTTCCTGACCCAGGAGTTGAACCTGTATCTCTGGAGTCTTCTGTGTTGCAGGCAGGTTCTTTACCCACTGAGCCACCTGGAAAGCCCAGGGGTCTCTTGTGAAGGTTAAATAGAGAATAGATCAGCCCTGTGCAACCGTGTGGCACAGACAGCAGTCCACACACACACACATTCACGCTCTCACACCCACACTCACATATTTGCATATACCTTCACACACATTCATACCCACACACATTCACACCTCTACACTCACACACCACATACACAGATTCATAACACACACACACACACATTCACGCTCTCACACCCACACTCACATATTTGCATATACCTTCACACACACTCATACCCACACACATTCACACCTCTACACTCACACACCACATACACAGATTCATACACACAATCACACACACACACACATGCACACACCAAGATCAGATTCTCAGAGGAACTCAATGATGGTGGCTCTCCTCTCCTGGCTGAAATGATTTCATCAAGTCCCTCCCGCCGTCCGCCTAGGATGTCCCACTCTTACCAACTTTGGGGACTCCAACACGCCAGCCTGGTTTCCGGTGTCTCTTCCTTATACCCCACCTGGTCTATTTAAGGACACTTCCGGCTCCTCCCCAGCCCAGACTTGACTCTCCAGCCAGGCTGATGTCCCTATCCCACCAAATACCAGGTGGAGCTGCCTTTGGCTGCCCTGACCCCACAGAGTTACCCTTCCTTCCTCCAGTGACTAAGTGTCCCCCCAACCATGAGCTCCCCACATCATATCTTCATTTCCTATCTTTGGAATCCAGCCCTGGAAGAAGGGGCACTGAAGCCCACAGGATCACAGGGAACTGACTTCTGTATTTCACTGAACCTTTGCTCCTTCTGCAGATGGGTGCTACGATATCCATTTAACAGATAAGAAAATTGAGGCTCAGAGACATGAAGAGATAAGGTCAAGATCACTCATTCAGCCAGTAATCATTTCTCAGGCTCCGGCTGTGAAGCTGGCTGGCCCTATGCAAAATTCTGAGGATAAAATGTTGACAGAAGCTAGCCACACCCTTGTGAGCTCCTGGGGGTGTGAGGGAGCCAGAGCACCTGTGGTAATCCCTACGTTGCCAGAGCACCACTAGAACAAGAGGATGTCAACTTGTAATTTCAGGAAATGATAAAACATGATGCAAATACAGAATGACAAAGTTAAACTCAGATGTATTCCCCACAGAATTAACTAATCCTTTCGGGGGCCTTTTAAACAATGGTAATGAAAGGAAATACCACCTTCTAAGTTTTGGACAATTTTTCCTATAGGAGAAAGTCACAGGCCTCTCAGCCTGCATAGAGCAGAGAGGCTTCCTGGAGGGGAAATTCCTGAGCTGAGCACTAAAGGATGAGTAAGAATGAGCCAGAGGAAGAGGGTGTGGAGGCGCTGGGCAAGGCTCTGCCTTCCCTGTGTGGGCTGGCCCTGTGTTACTCTCCCCATCTCGCCCTGCTCTGGCAACACCAGTCACCTGACAGTTCCTGGCAGGAACCACAGGGCCTTTGCACATGCTGTTCCCGTGCCAGGAACACTTGCGGGCTCTTTCCTGCTAGTCCTCTAAATCAAAGATGGCTTGGGTTCCTTTGCTGACGCCACAGTAACAATCCTGTCCACAGCTTCTGCTTTGCAGCCCTGGTCACAGTTTGTAGTATACACTGACCTTGTGATGGCTTAACACCCCTCTTCTCACTGCCCTGGGAGCCACCTCAGGGCAAGAGGCGGTCACCTTTGCTTACTAATGTATCTCCTGCACTCAGTCCACAGGGTGCATCCAATAAATATTTATGAGATGAGTGAGTAGAAGGATGGGGGAATGGAGGTCTGGAGAGGAAGGAAAGGAAGAAGGAAGGAAGAGACAGAGGGAGGGAAGAAGGTTAGGGAAAGAAGAGCGTGCACAAAGACCCAGAAGTTGGAGACATCACAGCATCATAAGAGAACTGAAACCTGCACCAGCTGGCAGGTTTGGAACTAGGACTCAAACCCCAGTCCGTCTGACTTTCCCTACTGAGTCTCTCTGCCTTTCATCGTGATCCTGGGTTCAGAGTAATCACTTTTTTAAAAATTGATGCACGCTTCCCAACAGACAAGGAGCCATTGACCCTTCTCTGAGCCTTTGATGTCTCATCTGGGGAAACGGGGACCGCACTTAGAAAACAGAATGAGAGATTGCAAGATCTTTCTCTCCCCCGAAATCGCACCACCCAGGCACAGCTGGCCAATGGCCCGGCTTGGAGAGCTGGCAGGGCTCGGCCACTCAGCAGACGTGTCCTCCTGGCCGCACTTCAAGGACAACAGGGCAAACCCTCGTGGTGGAGGGGCCGTTCCCAGGCGCCCAGGCCTTCTGCCCCCGCAGGCCCGCTCGGGGCAGGGTCAGCTGGTGTGGCAGCCGGCTGCGTGGATCTGGGACACAGACCTGCCTCCAGAGTGAGGCCGGGTGAGAGTTTAATGGTGAGAAGGCGGTGGCCTGACTGAGGCCATCGGCTCCGTTCTGCCCCAGCTCTCTCGTGCCAGTAAATGGACCCTATGCACATGCAGATGAAGGCATTACCGCTAATATTATGTGCGCAATGCGAAAGCGCTCAGGCGGCCAGGCTGGGAGCTGCCATTACCGCAAGACCTTTCACTGGAAAATTTTTCTTGGGGCAATTAAATCTTCAGCTGTCTCCTCGCAGGGAGTGCCAGCTTGCATTTTAATTATCCTTAAAAGAGAGAAGTAGGGGAAAGGACACAAGGCAAAGAATTAAAAAATAACAATCTGCTTTATAAACATGGCCATCATCTCGCAGCTGTGCATCTATTCAGAAGGTCCTCCCCCGTCAACCCTTCGGGCTCCAGGCTCCCTGTGACATTGGAAGGGCCCCTCTGGGGTCCAGGGGGCGGCGATGGGAGAGCTTGGTTGGGCCCAGGATGCAGGGTCCTCCATCTGGGAATCGGTGATGCGGCTATACCACTCAGTCTCCTTTCTCCTTCACCACATTCTATGAGGTGGAAATTATTAACCTCATTTCCCAGAAGAGGAAACCAAGATTGAGAAAATCACTGGCAATAGCATGAGTTACAACAGTAAAGAGGAACAAACTACTGATACAGGAACATGGACAAAAACATGATGAGAAAAAGGAACCAGGGGCTACTGCACATGGTATAAGATTCCATTTATATAAAGCTCCAGAACCATCAAACTGAGCTATGGAGACAGAGAGCAGACCAGTGGGCCGGGGGAGAAGAGGGGGTTGACTGAAGGGCAGAGGGAACATTTGTGGAGGTGGGACTGTCCTTTGATCGAGGTGGTGCTTCCATGGGTGTATATATCTATCAGAGCTCATCTAACCATATTCTTAAGATCAGTGCATTTTATTGTTTGTAAGTTACCCTTTAATAGAGTTGATTTAATAATAATAATAATAAAAGAATACGAGTTAATATTTATCTAGACTTTACTCTGTGCCTGGCCTTATTGTAAGCACTTGCCATGTGCTGAGCCATTTATCCTTCATGCCAATCTGTGACGAAGGCACTGCAAGGGCCCCATTTTCCAGAGGAGGAAACTGAGGCACGGAGAAGTTCAGAAACTTTCCTAAGTTGACATGGCTAGTAAAAAGCAGAGCCTGGGTTCAAACCCAGGCAGCCTGACTCCAGAGACTTTCAGCCTTGAAAGCAAAGTTCAAAGTTACCCAACTAGTCCCAGAAGCAGGATTAAATTCCAAGGCCTTCTAACATGATGAAACTGGCAGAAGGGGCAATCCATTCATTTGAAGAGTACTTACTCCGCATTCACTGTGGACACACGGAAAGCAACCGACAAGGTCCCAGACCTCTGGGGGAAGGGGGTGAGACAACGGGATATCAGCAAATATCCCAAAAATAGATGGGAATTTGAGGCTTGGGGGGAGGTGCAGGAACCCAAATGCACAATCCACACTGAGAGCCGCCCAGAACACTCCCTCACCCACTTGTGTGGAGGCTGTGCTGCCCCGCAGATACCAAAGGCCTGGGCCGCCTGCTCCTGATTTGACTTCCTTTCCAAGCTGAGTGTTCTGCTGAAGCAGGACAAGTTTTAGAGTCTCATCTTTCAAGAAAGATGCAGCAAAGGCCCTTTGAAATCGCCTGCCCTGCCCGCTCTTCGCACCTTGTGCCCAGAGCTCAGCTATGTCAAGAATGATCACTGTGCGTGGTCCCCTGGCTGGACGGTCCAAGGAGTCGCATTCCAGCACAGCGGCAACAGATGGAAGCCCTGGGACCCCACAGGACCGTGATCTTGAACCAAACACCCGAGCCCTGGGGAGATCCTCTGTGGCACTGGCTCCAAAAAGTGGAACAAGTCTTTCAGGCTGCCAAGGTCAAGTCTGCTTCCCCAAACATTCACAGCCTTTGCGGGTGGCTACCACGTGTTGAGGGGCTTCCCTGGTGGCTCAGAGTTTAAGTGCCTGCCTGCAATGCGGGAGACCTGGGTTCGATCCCTGGGTCGGGAAGATACCACGTGTTGAGGGCCTATGCTGTGCACGCTGCCTACATTGTCCAACTCATTCATCTCAGTGGCTCTGGACCACCAGCCTGGGTTCCCCGGTGAGCACAGAGAAGAGAGCTGACTTGCCTGAGGTCACACAGTGTTCACTCTACACCCATTTAGTGAGTATATTTTTGGAAGTCAGACTCTGGATCCATTCTATGGCTCTCAACTTTCCAGCTGTGTGACTTTGGGCGAGTTTCTTAACCTCTCTGTGCCAGTTTCCCCCTCTTAGAAAGGTGCCTAAAACTGTGCCTACCCCAACGTTTCTGTGAAGATCAAATGAGATAAGACAACCAATATAAAAGTGGTTACAACTGGGCCTGAATGATCATTAAGCCCTCAAAACCTGGGAGCTATTCTTACTGTATGAAATGTTTAAAAAAAAAAAAAGTCTATGTAATAGACTTGCCGACCCAGGGACCAAACCCACATCTCCTGCATTACAAGCATATTCTTTACTATCTGAACCACCGGGAATGCCCTTCTATGTTTATACATTTGTTCATTTATTCATCCACTTGCCAAACATGCATATAGTGGCAGTTTCTAGGCACCAGCTGAGGGCACACAACACATTAAGTCCTTGCTGTCAGTTCTGGTGGAAGAGACAGTTAACAGGCATACAAATTACAGATCAGTTCATCTTATGCTGAGTACTATGAAGAAAGCAAGATGGGACAAAGTGATGGAGAGAGCCTGGGTTGGGGGGTGGGAAACTAGACTCGGTGCTCTAACTCCCTAAAGGATATGGCATTTTAAATGCCAGCAGTAGAAGAAGAAAAAGGTAAGTTAAGAACCTAGGCTCAAATATTCCAGGCAGAGGGAACAGCAAGAGCAAAGACAGTGAGACTGGACTGAACTCAGTGTGGTTTGGCTGGAGAAAGTGAGCATTTTGAAATGGTGGAAAGGGAGGCTGGGCCCCAGGACGTGGGCCCTGTAGGCCTGGTGGGGAGCCAGGATTTTATCCTGAGGGAAATAGGAAGCCAGGAGAGCAGAGGAGCAGCCTGCTCTGATACGCATTTATACACACCATTCTGGCTGCTGGAAAGGAATGAGTCTCGGAGAAGTAGTAATAAAGGAAGAAGGTCGCAGATTCCCTGCTGATGGAGACTTGGGTAGTTTCTTTTCTTTCCCTACTTCCAAACAATTTTGCACAGAACGTTATTGTACAGAAACTCCTAGAAGTGGGATGGCTGGATTTAACACATGGACACTTGTTATCATATCCAGATTGCCACATCGCCTTCCATTTCACTCCTTTTGGACACAGGAGCCCCAGGTTCCAGTGGAGCTAACTTTCTCTACCTGCTTTGCTCCTGGGAACACGTCTCCCAACCTCTCCAGCCCTGGCACAAACCCAGCAGTCTCAGGTGCAGTTATATTTCTTGTTGCAATCTGGAATTACAAGCTGCTAAGAAGAAAACCTCAGAATCAGGCAAAGTGGCTAAAAAGACTGCCCAGGGGGCGGAGAGAGGTCTTTACACCCCAAAGAAGACCAATTTACCTCTATTTTTTCAACCACAGAGAATTTTCCAGCTTTTTTATATTCTGCTCAGCTGTGAAAATGAGGCACAGCACCAAGATGGCTATGGAAGCAGGCCCCGAGTTACAAATGATGAAGGGCCGGTTGGAAAACCATTCTCCCCACCATTCTCTGGGCACCAAGAATGGAAACAGCTGCGATCCTCAGAGCCTTCTGCCGCTCACCCTCCCCGGCCCCACCCTTCTTCCCTGGCTCACACCTCATCATGTCCCCTGGACACACCACCTTCTGGCCGGACTCCTGCCTTCTGTTCCATGCCGGCTCTATTGCCAAACTTTTCCTTCTCATAAGTGGCCTTTATAAAGAAAGTGCCTTCTTACAAGCAGTCACAGCATCTGCAGCAGTGTTGAAGCATAATTTTATTCTCTTCTCATCACTTAGGGCTTAAGTACGTGGTTTATTCGGGGGATGGGGAAGGGCTGCTAGGATCTCAAAGATTCATAACTGGTGCACATGCGGTGTCTGATTTTACCCTTGGCATTTGGAGATGCTTTTGAAGGTGGTTTATGTTATCCTTCCAAGGCTGATCTAGTGAGTTAATTAAGAGAGGATTTTGGCAACAGAATGTTTCTTAATATTTTAAGACACATGATTGCTTTTTTTCATAGTGAAATAGATGGATAGCAAACTCATTGACACAAAAGGTCATTATTATTCACTAACTGATTAGAAGGTGCCAGCTGTGAGACTGGTCACCTAATCTCACTTTATCTTCTCAGCAGCTCTATAAGGGAGGTATGAGTTTTGTATACATTTTACAGGTGAGGAAATTGAGGCATCAAGAAGTTAACCTACCCAAGATTACAGAGCTAGTCAAGGGTAGAACTGAATGCAAATCCAGTACTCCCTTCCTTTGTAATCATGATTTTCGCTGGCCCGGGGGACTTGAACTATGGAATGCTAGCAAAGCTGAACCTTCGTGTCCCAGAACTCATCTCCTGTATGGTTCTGGTTTGACACTGGCCACATTCCACATCCTGTTCAAGGTTTCTAAGGCACAGGTGAAGACGTCACCGTCATATGATGCTCTGGAGTGGGTGCACAACGCCATGCAGAGTGGCCGCCCCGCATGTTGTTGCTGATCTGCTGCTCATCTTTAGGTGTAGGGGGCGTCGAGGGCAGACCCTACAGCTCCCACCAGACCTCCCTGAGTGGCTGAAGGCTGGGCATGGTGCTTGTGTAGCCCTGAGGGCAAGAGCACCGGGTTCCCCTACCGATCACTGAGGCATCAAGGTTGAGGATAGGGGCAAAGAGGTTCCTGTCTGTCCCTGCTCTCCTCTCCTCTCCACTGAGCTCCTTCCTGACCACTGGTCCATACAAACCTCAGCTCACACTAGATGCAGAGGTGGCAGGCTGCAGAGATGCCATGCCATCTGCCCTCCTATATGAGGGCGCAGTCCTATGAGGGCTCACTCCCTTGATCACTTGTAAAGGCCCTTCTTCTCTGATGAGACCCTGACTGAAGCACGGGGGGTTGAATTTTATTTGGAAAGTGGCTTGCTCCCCCTCCCCCGTTAATTTGACAAATTTAGCAAATAAAAATACAGGGTGTCCAATTAAATCTTAAATTCACACACAAATTGAATACCTTTTTTACTATGTAAGTATTTGTAGCTCATGCAATACTGGGAATATGTTTTTATGAAACTCATATTTGTTGTTTATCTGAAATTTGAATTTAACTGGGCATGGGTATCCTGTATCTTCATTTGATAATAGATGCCCTTCCAGGGAGACCCACATAGCTGAGCCTCTTTCACTTGCCAGAGATGACAAGAAGAACATTCAACATATTCTTCAGCTGTGAAGAACTCAGTCAGCACTCAATCAGCATGCGAGAGCCCTGGAGGATGGAGTAGGTGGAGGGCAGGCTGAGGTTGGTCCTGGAGGGCTGTTTCCCCCTCTTAGGCTACACTGTGAAGCTGGGAAGACCCCACGGAACCTCAAGTGTACACATTGATAATCACCACCTACAGAACAAAGTCTTGGCTGCTTAATGGTACATCCAAGGGCCTGGCCTATCCCCCCACCTCATTCCTGCCCAATTCATGCAACCACCTAGGACCTCATATTCCCCGAAGATGATCTCTTCTCACCTGGCTTTACCTGTACTCTGCTCCTTGCCTGAAATGCCTCTCCCTCCCTTGAATGCCATTTAAACTCCTATTGACCCTCTGCCATCTCCTCCCAGAAGCTTTCCTGACCGCTGCAGGCAGAGAGGTGCTGGCCTTCACTTCTCTGGTCCTTCTAGCTTCTTTCATACCTTGATTACACTGCAGCCGCCACTTATGCAGGATATATTTAATATGTTCTTAAGACAAAAGGAAAGAGAAAGACAAATCATTAAATAAGGCACCAGTGGCCCGGTGGACATACATATGTCCTGAGTGGATGGGAGATGAAGGAGGGTAGCTGCTCTCTGGGGCTCAGTTCCCCAGGCCTCTCATCCTACCACCATCTGAGGATTAACTTAGACTTTAAAGATAAGTGTGTTCTGTTTCTTTTTAAACCAGCAATGTATAATGAGAAATCAGGCAGACCAGATTTGCCTAAATGTAGACTCCAACTCCGGTTTACTAACCTTGAGCAAGTTGCTGATCCCTCTGAGCCTCAGGCTCCTCATTTATAATATGGGTGTAAGAAGAGAACCAACTTCATAATGTTGTTGAGAGAATGAAACGAGCTTACAATATGTGACATGCTCACAGCATTACCACTTCATCTTACACCTGGCCCGTGAGCTCTGGGGAAGGAAAAGCAACTTCTCCGGGGCTGTGGGAAAACCTGATTGCTCTGAGACCCACTGGGAGATGATGGATCCACAGGGGGATGACATGTCGGCTCCAAACTGGTGTCTCCTGAGGACATGTCAAGTGTCGTGTTGATGATGCTTGATCTTGCTTTCCAGGCTGACTCCACTGACTAACACCCTCAAAGGAGTATGACCAGCAGATAGTCCTGGGCTAGAATCCCATTCTGCTGTTTCTAAGTGTGTGACCTTGCGCAAGTCATGTCAGTCTTGCTCATTTCACATGTCAGTAAATGCTGATGACCTATAGACATAGAGAACAGACTTGTGGACACAGGGATGGGAAGGAGAGGGTGGGATGAATTGAGAGAAAAGAGTGGAAACATAAAAATTACCATATGTAAAATAGATAGCCAGTGGGAATTTTCTCTGTGACCCAGGGAGCTCAACCCAGTGCTCCATGACAGACGAGAGAGAGGAGATGGGGTGGGAGATAGGAAGGGATTCAGGAGAGAGGGGACATATGTATGCCTGTGGCTGGTTCACTTTAAAGTATGGCAGAGGCCAAAGCAACACTATAAAGCAATTATCCTCCAATTAAAAAAAAGAGAGAGAAAAATAAATAAATGCTGATGCCCACTTTGCAGAGCTATGAGGAGTCAACACCTGGGCTAATACATTAAATACTTGGCTGTTTTGCTATTTTACTATGAGTAGTAAATGGTTGTTATCACACAGGGTTGCATTTTCAGTTTGCATATGGCTTCCTACCTCTCCCCCACCACCTTCCCTGATAAACTGGGAACGCTTCGGGAGGAGCTTCAGCTCCAGTCAGCCCAGGTTTCCAAAGTCAAGTCTGTACTCAGAATCAAGGAAGCATCCACATGCGTGGAAGGAAAGAGGGAGGAAGGAAAAAGAATTGACTCCTTTCTCCTTCAGCCCCAGGCTTGTCTGACAAGACTCTGATCAGAGGAATGGATCAACAGCCCCTGTTCATTCTCATATCACTTTCTGGAATCACAACTTAGGTTCGTAGCTGTCTAATTTATTATTATATGGTGCAGTGCAGGGTAATTATACACTGTGGCATAATTTGTTATAACTTGGGCTGAGGCCTATAACTGTATAATTTATTATTATACAGTACAGTGCTGAATAATACGAAGAGTATATAATTTATTTCAGGCTTACGAGCCTAACCTGTAATCCAAATGCGGCACACAGCCTCTGTGGATGAGTTAATGTTTCTACGGAAACCTCAACTTGGAGATTTCTTCATTCCCAGCTGCTTTCCTTGGCTTCTCAGAACCACTCCTGGCCAGGAGTTGCCAAGTTCCTGGGACTCTCTGTCTAGAGTCAGGCTGAAATTTCACTGGGCCAGCCTAAGTGGGACTGACACGTCAGGTCTAGACAAGGAGGCCCAGGGCTGTCTCTCTGCCCAGTGAACATGGGGAGGCCACAGATTGCCCAGGAGGGTCCCAGCAGCAGGCACAGCTGCTGCTGCCACTGCCGCTTCAGTCGTGTCCGACTCTGTGCGACCCCATGGACAGCAGCCCACCAGGCTCCTCTGTCCACGGGATTCTCCAGGCAAGAATACTGGAGTGGGTTGCCATTTCCTTCTCCAAGCAGGCACAGAACCATGGTCAAAACCCAGTTTCCGGGATCCCCAGCAGGATCCTTGGACTTGAGATTCCTCCATATATTTATTCTTTGTCTGTTCTCAGCACTGAGAATACATCATTGACCCAGAAAATGCTTCCCCTCATGGAGCTTGCATTCTGGGAGTTGAGGGCTCACATTTCAAAGTTTCTCAAAGTGTGGTTGGTCCCTGGACCTGCATCATCTGGGAGCTGGATGGAAATCCAGAACCTCAGCCACCTAGACCTGCTGAACCAGAGTCTGTGTTTTAACAAGAAGCCTTGCTGATTCATACATGATCAAGAAGCACTGCTTAAGTTTCTACATGACTTAGGAAAACTATTTCCTTCTGAAAATCCCCCTACCCTGCAAATATGTACCCACTTGCTGAGGTTTAAAGGCAGGTTCCTTCTCCCTGGGGATATTTCTTCTTCTTTATTTTAAGAATGTTTTTTTTTTTCCTGTTCATAAGTGTTCATTGTGAAACTTTTGAAAATAACAAACTAATAGCAACAAAGAAAACCTCCAGAAAATCAAAATCACCCAGAATGCCATCATCCAGAGATGATGCTGTTGATACTTTAGTGACTAATTCATCAGACACTTTTTATCCACCCACATACATTTTTAAAATCCAAACTGCAAGAAAAAGTGCAATAGGGTAGATCCTGGTAGGCTTGTTCAAACACACATCGCTGGGCCTCACCTCCAGAACTTCTGTTCGGACAGCCTGGGAATTAGCATTTCTAACAAGTTCCAAGTGATACTGAGCTCCTGGCCCAAGGACCACATTTTGAGAATTGACGCTGGGATCTGGTGTCAGGGGTTGAATTCCTTCACCAGCCTCCTGCCTGCAGGGAAGTCAATCAGTCTCCCTGTGCTCCAGCTTTTACAAGCCACAAG